TCAGAATTGTGAGATATAAAGTCAGAATTGTGAGATATAAAGTCAGAATTGTGAGATATAAAGTCAGAATTGTGAGATATAAAGTCAGAATTGTGAGATATAAAGTCAGAATTGTGAGATATAAAGTCAGAATTGTGAGATATACAGTCAGAATTGTGAGATATAAAGTCAGAATTGTGAGATATACAGTCAGAATTGTGAGATATAAAGTCAGAATTGTGAGATATAAACTCAGAATTGCAAGTCAGAAAAGTTAAAATTCTGAGATAAAAATTGCAATTGACTTTAAAAAATTTTTTTTTATTCCGTGGTGGAAAGCAGCTTTCATAGTAAATTGTAAAGGAAATGTAATACCTCTTTAGCTTTGTGCGAGTGTGTTTTGTTGGTGTGTGTCCCATCACTATTCAATTTTAAGTTATTCACTGTGGATGGATGAGCGCTTGAGGTACATTTGGGCCAAATTTATGAGCTGCTTTTGAGCCAGGTGTGTGTAAGTTTGTTAGAGCGTTTGCCTGTAGGATTTACAATGTGTGACCTGTTTTCAGTATCTAGGTCTGTTTTTGCAGAAATAGACACTTATTTTATTCCTGGCACCATATTTACTTCATATCTACTTCTTTGCACATTAAAACTAACGTAATGGTCAATTTTTGCTAGTTTTGTTAGCATGTTCAGGACTTGCAGCTATTTTTTATAAGTGTTAATGTTCACTACAAGTTAGTGGTATGTATTTCTTTTCCATTTTTAAACACAGCCGGTTTTAGTAAGTCAGTAAATATGTTGGCCCACTTACACGTGTCTTTATTCAGGTGATATAATAAATTAAGACAGACTACGAACGATAATGCATAAGCATTTTAAGTTGTAGTCACACAGTATATAACATATTTGACTTTTTGTAGTTCACCTTCAACTAACGTTTCAGGGTGAGCTAAAGCAATACTGTAGAAAACAACTGCCAATATTGTCAAAAATATCTACGCTTATGTTCATGAGGCTAGAATTTGTAATTTGGCATGGATTTGTGTAAGATGTTTTATTCTTTTATCAGCTAACACAAACTGAGACCTCATAAACTGAAGGAAATCATGTCTTTTGTGCAATTCTTTCAATCTCATCTGCATTTTCTGTGCACCTAATGTGTGGACTATTCATTGGAACTTCATAATTAATCAATTTCTCTTGATGTTCTTTTAATTTTATGGTCTTTATTGGCATTAAAAGTATGGTCTTGTGTCTGACGGATTGATAAAACCCAGGGTTTTTCTACAGGTAATGTATTATTTGTCACTTGTGTAGAATTCATAAATTCACACAGTACAAAAATTAAATAACCATATCTTTCCACCAAAATACAATAATTAATACCATTATTGTTAGTACTGTAAAATCATCATAATAATAATAATTTAATGAGATTGCATTCAAAAAAGTGAGTTTTCAAGTGTACATTTACATTTTTAGGCAGAACAATGTTTTAACATTTTGAACAATAATGAATAATAACAACATGCCATTATTAATATAGTATTAGTCACGCCCCCAGACATATAGTATCAATAACAGCACAGAATGTCCACTTGCTTATAAACTTAAATAAGCTTATATGCTCCTAGATATGTTGACAGAGTTGTGAACATTCATTAGCTGAAAACCATATTTTCCACCAAAATACAATGTGTTAATACTTAAAATTGATAATAAGTTCAATGAGATTGTTCAAAAAGAGTAAGCTTTCAAATATTATTTACATTTTTTTTAAGTGCAGATTTTTTTTTTAAACATTTTGAATAATAATAATCGCCTCATGTATTATTAATGTATCATATTAGCCACACCCCCAAATATTTAATATCACGAAGAAGCACATAATGTCCATTTCAAATGCTTATAAACGTGAATAAAGCGTGTGTGCTCCCAGATATATGAACAAATAAGATTTATTGATAATTATAAACATTTATTAGCTGACAGAAATGAATCGCTGGAGGTTTGAATGAACGCGGAGTGAAATGTGGAATGAAATTCCTCTGGGCGTGAGAGTGGGAAGGGCTGAGCTAAACACAAGCTTTTAGGCTTTAGATGTCGAAGCCCATACTACTGAACATCCCAGTCCTTAAGAAAAATCAGCGCTTCTGTTTTATTTGCAATAAATATTGCGTTAAGCTGTATAGATATAGACCGTCGAAGTGATGGGGGGCAATAGCAGCTCGCGCCACGTTTCCTTCGACCCTGCCTGTGATGAGGAGGGGGTTACATTCGTGAAGGGCATTCGGGTAAGTGTACTAGATAACGATAAACTTATGCAAAAGTATTTTCTATTTCCTTTGTTGAGTAATTTTAACTATATTATCTATGTCGTTGTTTATTATCTATGCGTGCTTAACAACATAAGTTGTAACGTACTTCCACTGCAAGAGCTTCAGTGGTTCGGTCTTTGAAATGAATTAATTAGAATATCGTGTAAATTGCAAGTTTGTGGAGATTTTAGGGGTGCAGAACAAAATGTCCTGCAGGGCATATAGCTTATGTTAAATATAGCCTACGTACAGGTCATGCATGTTGACCTACTGCATACTAAACATACATACTGCACTTAGACATGACGGGTTAACTTTTACATTACATATAGCTTTCAAAATCAACTGTACTTGAAGTATATATGTGTGACCGTATGTCCCTACACCAACCTCATAGTACTAAATCTTATAATGGTACAACCACTACCTTTCTTTACAAAAAAAAAACATGGTACCGTACAACCCCATTTTTTAGTGGAATTTTACTATGGTAATACCATGTTTTTGGGTGTGTCCCATAATAATACCATTGTACATGAATTTGGTTCCCATTCCATGGTATATATCAGTGTGCAGTGGTACAGTATTCCCATCTTCTGAACAATAGTATTGCTGCAGTAGTCACTTTCTAATTTATGTACTTTCAGCTATTTCCCAGATTATTTTGCGATCACTTGAAAAAATATTGCATGAAAAGAAAGCAGTATTGTCTAATGAAGATTCATGCATCCCAGGTCAGTCACATTGCATTGCAAATTTGAAAAAAGATAAGTATTAATTTTGGGCTACAATAATCTGGAAAAAAAGTTAGTTGAGTTTCCAGTGTGACCGTCAAACACAAACTTGTAGGTGATGGAAAAATGTTCTCAGTTTTCATAATAAAACAAAACCCACATGAAAAAAATAATATCTAATTTATAGTAAATACTATAGTGTTTTTGAACCATACTATTAGGGCTGCACAATTAATCAAATTTCTAATCGCGATTACAATTATGGACGCCACAATTACGTAATCGTTCAAAGCGGCAATTAATCGTTCAAAGTCCACTTATGTTGTTCTGCGCGCTTAAGATATGTTTTTTTTCTTTCTACATGTGATCTTAAGGGTTTTTCCATTGTTTTAGTTTTAGTATAACATTATAATACCATTCATATTTTTACTTTTTTTATAATTTAAAGAAGAAACCAATCCGATGTATATTTGACATTTGACGCTTAAAGGGATAGTTCACCCAAAAATGTAAATTTGATGTTTATCTGCTTACCCCCAGGGCATCCAAGCAAATCCAAATTAAACCCTGCGGCTCGTGACGACACACTGATGTCCGAAGACACGAAACGATCAGTTTGTGCCAGAAACCGTACAGTATTTATATCATATTTGACCTCTAATACAGCACTATGTCCAACTGTCTTTGGGCGCGCGCACGGCGCACACGGCATGAGGTGTGTACGCGCTCTGGTGTAGTTTACGCAAGCGCCGGAAGTGATCTCTCGCGCGTCTCGCGCGTA